GAGAACATTAGACTTTGTACATCATCTCTATTTTATTGAGTTGACCAAACAAATTACCACTCTGTACATCTCTCACTGGCTAAACACTTCCCCTTTTCTCATCTCAAGAGAATGCTATTCAATTCCATTTTAACATACAAAGTTATGAAATGTTTACTCTGGTAATGGCTGAAACTTAAACCCTGACAGCATATTATAATGTTAGAACATAACATTTATTTATTCTGCATGTAGCAATATTTGAATTTTAGTCATCCATCTCAGAACTGACCACCACCATACTGTGAATAAACACTGAAAAAATAATGATCTGACAATAACTCAGTCGGTCATGTATTTCTCAGTCCATTAATAAAAATTTTCCTCAATGATTCCTACAGAAATTTCCTATAAATCTAGCTAGACACAAACCGCTATCATTCCTAAATCTTGCTGACTATATAGGCACAGTACATACACAACTAAATTAGTAACTTTATTAAGAGTTTCTACGAATGTTACTTTAATCCTGGAGGATAGTGCACTCTACCTGTCCCTTCTTCTTGTCATTGAAGACAAAACATTTTTCATCATTTCAATTAAAATGTCAAAGAAATTATATAGTTCACTGAATTTTAATTAACTTTTAACTCTAGTACACACAAATACAATAAAGTAAAATAGGTCGTATGGGTACTGTGTACTAAACTGCAATAGAATTGGCTTAATTTAAAAAAAAAATTAAATTACCCCCCAGGTAGTCAAAAATTTGCCATTGAGTAAGATACCTTATCAGTCCTTTGATAAGGAGAAAATTAACTTAATTTACAAAAGCTGCATTCTTACATAAACAGCTATAAAGTTCACATACATGTCTACCTTATTTTCAGGCTAACAATTCTGTAAGTATCACCCTAAAGATATGAGAGGGAGATTGGCCTGTGATGTACTGTAGGAAAGGTCTCTAGTTACCCCGTCAGGGAGGGGTTATTGCAGGATGAGATTTCTCTGTCAGGGAGTGTTTATTGTAGGATGCCAGCACATAAAATCTTTCTTCTTCCTGCAGGTCAAAAATTATCAAGCTTTCGATACAAAACAGCAGCATAAGAAATCTTTTTGTGATAAGTCAATTAACAATATGCTGCATCTTACATACTTCTTTAGATTATTTTCTAAGCATTGCGGCAAGATCAAAACACTAGACTATACAGAAAAGCAAAGCAAACACACTTCTGTTCAGTTTCCATTGGCATCTGTTTGTTGCCTCAAGTCAACACTGTTAATGTATAGCCAATAAATCCTTACTAAAATATACAAGAAACTTGAGTTTCATTAAAAAATCTTAGAGCTCTGTTTACATAACAACAAAAGAAAACCAATGTTGTGCTTCACAAACAGCAGGAAATGTAGAGAAGTAATTTTGGAGTCAAATGAGGTCATGGAAGTCTGTGTGAATGTCAACCTTGTGTAAACAGTCAACAAAACGGCTTCAGATGTCTTCAGTCTTATGTTATAACAGACCACGGAGCCAGGCAAAGAACGTCAAACAGATTCCCTCTGTCTGAGCTAGGAGCCAGCAGGAATGACACTAATTCAGGGATTTGTGTGCGAGGTCATCTGAGGACCAGGAGAAGACTTAATCAAACACTCCTTATATTTCTGTCTCTGTTTGTAAATAACAGATTTATACTTCATCAAATTTCAACTCAGCTATCCGAAAAACACAGATGATATACGACCATCCGCAAAAAGTAACTCCAACTAAATATTGACCACCTGTTTCTACGGGGTAATATTTCACAGCCTTCAAAAGTCAATAGAAGAGCAATCGGTTTCACTGGTTTTTTAAATTACCAGATTTTGGATTGAGAGAAAATCAACTTGACCAATATTTGTTCTCTTCTTACACAAACTGCATTTCCTATTCAACTTCTCACCCTTGTAAATTCAAAAATGTCCTACTGAGAAAATAATGTAAATTTGTGAATCTCTCATTGTGTTTACACAGTTTAAAGGTTCCTTTATAGCAATCACATCAGTGCATGATGCAAGTCAAATACAGGGAACGGTTCTGAATACCCAGGACAAAAGAGAGAATTCTGCACTATTATTAAAAACGTGACCAGCTAAAAAGAGACAAAATTAGGCACTGAGAAAATCTCCTTATAATTCTGTTTCTCAGTGGAAACAAATTCAATGCCCCCCCAGACAACAGATTTTTTTTTTTTTTGCCTGAGAAATGCTGTATATAAATCCATTGGTTCAAACACACAAAAGAATGAGAGAGAACTTGAAGCTCTCTCTCTGTGCTCTATAAAAAATTGATTTTACCATTCTAGAAAAGAAGCTTACATGTACATAGAAATGCAAAATTCTATTCTTCTAGACAAGATGGATTTTGCTTACATTGGAAAATTGTACATCACAAGCTGTAAGCATTATAATCTATCTAATCCCTAGCCTCTCTCCAAACTTTGTTTGCTTATTCAGAGGATAGGCAAACAGAACTTCTATTTTATATAAGCCAGCTTCTGTTCAGAACAATACAAGTCAGCAGTATGGGATGTATCTAATACATGTCTGGGTCCGAGGCTTACATACAATTTCTCCGCGGGTGAATACCTATTGCGATGTGATGTGACAGGAAGTTCAATAACATTACAGAATCCCCTAAACATCAAGGGACCAGCTCATCTACTTGTAACAATACCAGGATTTGAATGCACATTCAATTTGGATTGATTTAGGAGACTGAAATCATGAAAACAGCAGCTTTCTGCGGATTTCTTGTCTGGATTTGATATCTTTTAACAGAAAACAAACCCTTGAGACAGATTCATGTTCTTCTATTACTTCTAAAATGAAATTACAGCTTTATATAGATATACCAAATGAAAAATAAAAATAGATTCACCAAATGAAAAAGACAGATTTTCATTTGAAACTCAATACCTATATACAAATCAAAACCTTCCTGAATCTATTGGAATCATAGAAGAGATGAATTTACGAGAACCAATTTCATATTACAGTCATCCTTTAGGGATCCCCTCGTAAGTTTAATCTCAATTAAGAGAAATTAACTGTCAAGAAATAATCAAAAATTGCAAAAAAATTGACAAAGCAATGTTGTCAGGCTACAATATCCTCAGCTGTTTGGATTTCCCTGGAGTCTTCTAATGGAGTCGCAGTCAAGGCTGGATACTGAAAGGGGTGCTGTTACTAAACTTAACCTTTTACCAGCAAGTCAAGTCATGGGGGACAGAAATCAGAGATTTTAAATCCAATAACAAAAAGACCACAAGGCCCACCAACAGCAAGGCTGGCCAGATTAGCAGAATCCCATTGTAGGAAGGGTAATCTTAGTGTAGGAGTTTTGTAGGCCAGTCCTCCAGAAAATCAGAACTGATGAGTCTGTAATAAGGGTTAAGTAACACAGAGGGGGCAGGTGACAAGATGTGGGTAGGAGATAATTAAGTGGGGTGTGTGACCCTGGGTTAGTGATGAGGGCCAAGACAACAGAGGGACACCCAGGGAGATCTTCAATTTGTGTCTGAATTCAGGAATCGGTCAGGTTATAGGGGTACATTGGTCATATAGCTACCATAATGATCATTATTGACAAGCACTTGATTTGCAATAAATTCTGTCAAATCTTAAAGTGCTACAGCATTGACAGCTGAACAATTTTGCTTTAAGCTTTCAATATGGTCTTTGAAATTTGCTTAAACACATCAAAAGAGAGAGAGAAACAGTTTGCAAACCTAGTTCATGCAAAGTCTTCAATAAGTAAAAGATTCTGCAAAAACATATTAAAATCTTGCAGCAGCCTTGCTTATAAATGAGCACCTTGCATGCCTGTTTATACTTCAATCTTTTTAGATTTTCATCCATTACAATTTATTGTGTCATAACTCCCCACACAATGTAAGCTGATTAAGCAGTTGGGGGAATAAAATGATTGCTATTTTCTAGCCTCCATACCTAGCCTACCAGGACACAAAAACCATATAAAGTTGATCATGTTTTCAATAAAATAGTCATGCTATGCTTAATTTGGTTCAATTCTTACTCAGTGCCACCAACCTAATCAGCTAACGGCAATAGTAAATTTAACATGCAGCGATAAAAAATGGCGAGGATTAATCTAATTGACAGCAATATAGAGGGGAATCGATTGTAAATGTAAAAAACGGACACAGGCTCCAATGTCAAATCAAAAGAATCATTAATGAAATTCTCATCAGATTTATATGATAAAAAAAAGACAATATCTAACGTACATATCTAACCTAACTTAGCATTACAATGACAGACCAAGAGCTTTAACAGGGTTGACATTACTTTACACAAAAAATTTATGTACAAATGGCTTTAAAATTCCAGCAGTGGTTAAGATAATATCAATTAAAACAGCCACAGAATGAAAGGGTTGGTGTATTGCATGTGAGAGCATATTGCATCTAAATTGAACACTTTGATGTACAATTAGACACAAAAAATAGACTTCTGAAAAAAGCTTAGAGATACAAGGTTCTCATTTTAAACCTGATTTCTTGCAAATAATTTAAATAAAATCAAAACTTTTTTTATTCCTTTGAATGGTTTTAACTCAATGTTTATTTTACAATATCTTTAACTGATGCCTGGTCTGTAGATGCATTCAGTTGTTCTAAATGATAAACTTTTATTTAATTTTACTGCATTTCTTATTTGTATATGAAAACATTTTTAATCATGCTTTCATGAAAAGCTGATTACATATAAAGCTGGAAATATTGATTTGTATGTAACAATTTCTGACAGAATTCGTCCTTAGAGGACCCCATGTCTCAGTCTTTGAGTGCATTCCAGTGTAGCTGTCATAAGTTTTTGGTAAGAGATTGAAGACATTTATGTGGGAGATTATTGAAGAAATTAAGTTTTCATGAAAAACAAATGATGCCATAGATCAAACAAAGTAGATACAATTAAATTGTGGTTGGAATAATCAGTATAAGTCCGTTAAGATCTTCACTTACTCATAGAAATGTCATCACCAATTACGGAGGAAGCTGCTCTGAGCTTCAGCAGAAAAAGCTGCCGTTCCATTACTCAATCTAATTGGAGGATGTATCTGTTAAAAAAGAAAGAAATTTGAATTGTACAGCTTATCAAACAGGCTCTGGGATGATATAAACAACATTCCTCTATTCCGGAAAAAGCCAGCGATATCAAATACATTGTAGAAAATCATTAGAAATGATGAAGAATACAATTTGACTTAATCCCTTTACATGTTACTAATATCCCTTGCCATTTTATTTATCAATTCATTTACAATTTGCCTTTGCAAAAGAATTCCCACTCAGTAAAAAAACAAAATTGATGATATTTTCTTTATTTATATAATTAGGTAAAGGAGGTACCACCCTATACAAAGCACGGCTTTGTCAATTATTTTCTTAATATCAATGTTACGTGGGCCAATGTTTTAAGAGTACAGAAGACTATTTACATCCTTTTCCACTTCATGCCGATCAAGAACCAATTTTCAAATCAGCAAAAGAGGTGAGCTCTAGGTACAACTGCATATTGTTACATAACAAGTAATCAAAGAATACATAGTTCCCTGTCATTCACATAAGATTTTCCAGATGCAGCGAATGTCTTAAGTCAAAGAACCTTATAATATTTCTACTGTCACACAAAAGTTATTCCATCAAAACTTGGGGAAAAAAATTAAAATACTTTTATGGAGGTCATTGAAAACTCTGGAATTTTAGCAAAAAATAAATGCAAAAAATCTACTTTTCTCTTTTTGTTACTCAAAAAAAGAGAGAGAATTTGCTCTCTTCCAATGTGCTTTAAATTACAAGAAAAGTATTGGAAATTAGATTTTAAATTTGTAAATCGCTTTCGGATGTAATTAGAGAAGCTCAGACTTTGTAAGCCGGGCTCAGCCTGCGAATTATTATGTAAGTCAATACCGCGGCGCTCCTATCATATAACTCATCCATTTTAAATTTGATATTTTTCAATGTGCGCGGATGAATCTTGACAAATTGCACCAATTACAATATATCTATTCCTTGTTCAAAGTGATTTGTAGCTCAATTTGAGCCGGTAATGTATGTATTTAATACAATGTTATCCAATTAGGTACAGCAGCGGGTGTATCAACTGACAATGGGTCCTGAAAGCTGAAACAACTCCAATTTACCATTCATCTTTTTATAGATCATAAAAGTTATGTCAATCCCAATCTAATGAATTGAACCTTCAAAATCAGAATCCTAGTTTTACACATAATTTAATTTGAAAAATCAAATTATTGAACAGCAACTGTTAAATATTTTTTTCATTTATAAAGATTATAATATATGCAGAAAATGAAGACATCATTTGCTCAAGTAATTTTTTATTGGAATAGTCATTTTAAGCAATGAAATGGTATACAGAAATCTTTAAAATCGGCAGACAATTGCCAGAATATGACTGGTAAATAGACAAATGTACATAAAGTTTATGGGTGAATATGAAGCAGATGTGAGTATTATATGTGATTAGAAGTTATTTCTGTCAAGGCTTTGAGGTTACGCAAGACTCTGTAATCATATTTCTATATTTCATCTGAGAACAGAATTATTTATCTAGATTTCAATTTGCTGAAATTACGTCTGAAGCATTCTTGCTTTTGGTTGCTTTGGTAACTGTGATCCGGTGCCTCAATACGTTTTTGATGTCCTTCCTACATTTCTACATTACTATAAAATCCAAACCGACAAATTATGAAAAAAAAAGAATAATTAAGAGATGAAAATAAAATTCTAAATTAGAACGCTCACAAAGTAACCCTTGCTTTTGAGCTCTGTTGAAATTCTAACCTATCATCAGTCCATTCCCAAAAATACAAATTCTGAGCTCTTTAACATTATGACAACCTGTGTTTCAGCACACAGCCTACAGAATGGCTTCTTTCACCATAAAGCACCAGAAACAGAAGTAGAGAGCAGCCTGATGTTAAAAACAATGTTCTGCAATCTCAATCACAGGCTCTGTCAGATTATAAAAACCCTCGTAAACAATATTACAAAATATGTTTTAAGTCAGATTTAATGGGAAACACAATAGCGCAAAAACGGGGAGACCTGCTGAGCTCTTTGTTTCTCAAGATACAGAATGTCAAAATTATCTGTCAATTTCATATTTTGAAAAAAACACATGGCGTCTTGTCTCTCTGCAACAAAAACGGCACGAAACCCTACCCTCGGAAAAGAAAAACCAAATACTATTAAGAAGGAGGCTTTTGACACTGAATATCTTAAGATGGAAACAAGAGAGAAATGTTAATTCTTAAAGACAAAAAGGACACAAATAGAATGTGAAGGAAAGACCTGCTCTTGGCAAGATTTGAAAAATATTTGTTCAATGTATCCCCGTAAAATTCTCAAGTTACACATAGACAGGTGAGAGCAGGTTGTTGTGAATAGAAGGGGGCTACAAATTGGCAACATTACATGGCTCATTGCCTGTAAACTGTCCGGTTCCTGACAATGGAGCCAGACCAGAAATACCAGGAACCTACGGGGAATCACCGCGGTCAATGACTCTGTCACAGCGGACCCCGTCATTGTATGACACGTCTGAAGTACCATCCTAAAGTGACGGTAATGTGTGGGATCTCAGTGTCACAATCCCAAAACTGATCTCTGCAATCAGAGAAGGCTAGGTGCATGAAATGGGACAGCTGGGACAGAAAGTCCCTGAAATATTTATTATGTTATAAAATTTCCAGTCATCTTAGATTATTGATTCTTAATGATTAAATGATAGACCTACTAGGTATAAACCCAGGATCATACACACTTTTTCTATTGTATATGTGCTCTACATCCTAACAATGGCTTGGAGATTTCAGAAACTCGGACAGAAAATTGCTTTTCCTCTTCCAGAGACTAAGAATTGTTACACGCAGATGTAAAAATTGTCAGCATAAAATAGTTTTTGGCAAAGACAAAGAAAACTAGTGCTAATTGTCAGATGTTCCCCAAACGCTTCCCAACTCCCTTTTGATGCCATATTCCCTGTAAGCTTCATTAAATAGGACAAAATCTATGCATTTGAGACTTTAATAACGCCAAGTTCATTCAAATTTTAGCATTGCATGCGTGTGTATGTGAATGCATGTGCGTAATGACCATATCATCTTGTCTACACAATCTATATATTTTTTATATACTAAATATTAAAGTATTTTATCCAAAAGTATTAAAAAATACGCTCATTCAAGTGTATTTTTGATTTTACTCATTTCACGTGCACGCACGTGCATACATGAGCATGGTGACCACACCTTCTTGTAGAACTCCATTACATCTATCCATGTTCTAAATCCCACCCCGTTTGTTGAGAAGCAAGGGAGTTATTGCTGTTTAAAGTTTCAGCCAATCAGTTTACAGCGCACGTATACGAACGTGTATGCATGTGCATAGTGACCAAACCTTCTTTTAGAAGTTTATTATATCTATCTATGTTCCAAATTCCATCCTGTTTCGTTGAAAACCAAGGAAGTTAAAGCTATTTAAAGTTTAAGCCAATCAGATTGCAGCACACGTGCATGCACGTGTTTTCATGATAATTGCTATACATCATGTAAAGCATGGCTATGTTCAAAATTTCATAGGATTTCGTCGAAAAACAAGAAAGATATAAAAAGCCAATCAGAGCAAAGCGCACGTGCATGCATAAAATGTTATCTTGTCTACGCTACTAATATATCCTTACATTATAAATTTCGAAAGATTTCATCAAAAAATAGAAAAGTTACGGCTATATCCAATATATTGGTCATTTCACGTGTTGCACGTGCGCGCTCTTGCAAGCACGTGCGCGCAAAATGGCATGTTGACAATGTCATCTTATCTACATTTATAATATGTCTATATATTCTAAATATCAAAGCATTACATCGAAAAGTGTAAAAGTTACGGCAATTTCAAGTATATTGGTCATTTCACGTGTTGCTCGTGCGCGCTCTTGCAAGCACGTGCGCGCAAAATGAACTTCGTTCCGCAAATCTACATAACATGCCTACTTACCCTAAAAAGGTTTCCCCTTAATCGGATGTGTACTTTACAAGATCATTCGCGGACAAAATTTTCCCGAGAAGAAAAATAATAATAATAATAAGAAACAGAGTAAAAACAATATGTTCCCCAACTTCGTTTGGGGAACATAATTACATCAAAATATGCTGTAGATGAAGTGAAATTATTGCTGACTATATGGCACTTTGGACTCAAAAACATCTGTGTGGTAGACAAACTATGACAAAAACCCAAAAAGACATAAAAATACCCATAATATATGTCAATGTCATTATCTGTATCTGAATTGCACAAGGAGGCAGCACCATGTGAGTTACATCATCTGGTGACAAAGGAAAGAAAATCTAGGTGATCTGTGCCGATACTTTTATCTCCAGCCAGCAGAGCCAGATGTGAGCACAACATGAAGGAATAGTGTACGTCTAGTAACATCTGACGCTGTCATAGAAAACATGGCACTAAAATAACCCAGGTTAGGAGATACAGCATCTAGAGAGACAGAAACGGAAAGGTCTCAAGAATGTCAAAATAACAAGAACTGTCATAAGGGATCGTCAGGGATGATTTCTGCCTGCTGTGAACCTGCCTCTGGATCCTACAGAATCCTCACAGACCTGGTATCATTTGGTGCTGTACAGAGAGCAGATTGTGGAGGAACCATCAAACGTCACAGGCCAGACATCAGAGAGAAGAAGGAGGCTGTCACAGAGGACAATTTTCTGTCTCGCCTTTCTGACAGTTTTAGACAAGACGGGGGAAGTCACCAAACACATGCCTCATTGGCTGCTTCCCCTGGGGAAAACATTATTCCACTTCATAAAATTTTCACAAGCACCTCATCATTAACACTATTTATGATAGAGCACTTCAAAAATATTGTGCGCTGCAGACCTGAAAGCATTCAATTACATAATTCACGCTTGTTAGATTAGGTCAACACTTTTTAAGCAATATCATAGGCTACAAAATTAGCAGATCAGCTGAAGCTTGAAAATGATGAAGTTAAATAACAATAAAATATACCGGT